TGTGTCCTCATTTTACAGATGAGGTACTGAAGCAAATAGGGTTTAAGTGACCTGCCCAGGGTCAGACAGATGCTAAGTGTCTGAATCTGAATTTGAACTCAAGTCTTCCTGATTACAGGCCTGGTGCTGTAGCCATTGTGCCACCTAGCTGTCAAAGGCAGGGATAGGGCCCCCAAATGATCTCCCCTCCCAATTCAGCCAGTTGTGCCAGGGGTCTCTCTCTTTATAGGGAGTGTACACACACACACACACACATGCTATAAGTGTTTGATGACTTGCTCTTCCACTCTACCAGTGTGATGGCAGAGGTTGTGGGGTGAGAAGACTGGATATGAGTTAAGATGGAATCTTTTCTATTTCACTTAATTGTGTGACTCTAAGAAAATCCCTTAAGCTCTCTGGGCCTTTCTGATTTCCTCATCTATGTAATGGTGCTGGTGAGAAGTTATAGTAGATAATATGCATGGTCCCTTTCAGCTCTACAAATCCAGGCTGATAACTGGTAAGCTATATATTATCACTCAGCGGTGGAACCCTAGTTAGCTGAATCCCCAGAGGAAAGTCAGTAAGACAAAGTACGTAAGGGGTGCATGTAATCTCCTGGAATTAAATTCAGGAAGACCCCTTTACTACTGGGTTATCTTGGGAGGAAAAATGTAACCCCGCTGGGCCTCATCTATGAATAAAGCGATTGGACTCGATGACCTCAAAAGACACTTCTGATTCTGAATCTCTGAACCCGGGGTCCTAAGTCATGCAAGCAAGCCCTTCACTACAGAAGCCCAGTTAGAGAACACGACCACACAGTCTCCAACTTAACAAACATTTCTGACAAAGAATCTCTTCCTAGAATGGCCGTCCAATCCAGTTGGCCAGATGACTGTGGGGACTTCCATCCTTTTCTGCTTCATCTAGGTCTTGCTCAGCCTCCAACCCAACCAATTTCTCACATTACCTCAGGGTGGGGTCTAGTAATAATAAGAAAAGGAAGGAAAGGAAATTCCACTACTGGTAGAAAAGTACTAGATTTGGTTCAGAAGACCTCAGTTCAAATCCTGGCTCTGCTAGTTATGAATTGGGTGATATTAGGCAAGTCACTTTGCATTTATGAGCATTGGTTCTTTATCTGTAAAGTGAAGGAATTGAACTAGATGTCCCTTCTGTCTCTAAATCTGATACTTGAATCTATAAAATGAAAGGAATGACGAGGTTAAGGATTCTTCATGTGGGGTCCATGGACTCCTCTTCAGTCTCTAGATAGATTTCAGTACGTGTGGGAATTTCTATTTATTTTTAAAATATGCTGTTTATTTTATTTAAAATATGCTGGTAACTATATTTCAATATAGTTAACTTCCTTAGTAATCCTATGTATTTTATGTTATATACTGACAAGCATTATTCTGAGGAATCCAGTCTCTTCATCAGACTTCCAAAGAGGGCCATGATCCAAGCTAGGTTCAAACTCCCCCTGAAATAAATGATCCCCAAAATTCCTTCCATCTTTAAATCTCATGAATATGCAGCTCCACCCTTGTCACCCTGCAACTCCAATGGCCCTGGTTCTCCAGCCCAACACTGGTTTCATTAACAGCATCCCCAATCCCATGCCATTGCTTATTCTTTTTTAACCCCAAAGCCCCACCATTCACTTTCAAGATGAAATGCTGAAGACATCCCAAGTCTGATTTTCTCCTTAAATATAAAAGAATTTGACTTTAGACATTTGAAACATGTGGTTTTATTCTCTTTTGTGGTAGAACAAAGAGGAGGGAAATTGTGCTTGAAAACCATCAGTGGTAGCAGCAAAAAGGGAACTAGATGGTCCCCTTGTATGGTTTTTTAGCCAGTTCCAAACAGTTTTGATGATTACTGTTTGACTGCTCCTTTGTTGACTTGAAGTGCCCTCCCCCTCAAACCTCACACCCACTTCTCTCCTTGAAGAACTCATGCAGCCCATGGGAGGTTCCCTAAGTGTTTTCAGTGGTAGCAGCAATGGAAGGAACAGGACAGGAAGTTATAAGGTTTTCTCCTATGTCCTCATCCCTTTCACTCAAACACTCAAGGGAAAGGGAAAGGGGAAGGGGAAGTTATAAATGGGAGTTCATGCTGACTCTGGAGTAGACAAAGAACGGAAATATTATTTGCCAGCATTCAAGAGGGAAAATATACTCATGCTAGTCTGAGCTTTCCATTCTAGGAGCTGCAGTTGTGGGAAGAGGGTAGGACAATGAGGAGATGGAATGGGATAGGATTGGGGATGGTGCCAGCGAGACAGCGCCGAGACTGGGGACGTAGCAGGGGCGAAGAGAATGAAGAGCAGCTTGAGATGTTCAAGGTTCGTTTCTCTCTGCCCTTCTCCCCCCGGTCCTTCCTCCCTTCCTGTTCATCCCTTTCCTCCAGAGTTCCCATTCCTTCCTCCTTCTTTGCCCCCTCCTTTGTCCTCATCCACTTTCCTGAGCCACAGGGCCACCACCAGACGCAGAGTTGAGAGGTCTCCAGTTGTACTGAAGTAAAAGTAGGAAGGGTCCTGGGAGCCCGTGTTGGAATTTTGCATAAGTTTTATTTTATAAAAATGTATCTTATTGATTCTTTCCTTTTTTTTTTCCCATAATGTTACTATCACTTTCAATAGCTCCCGTCCCCCAACAGAGCCCTTCTTTGTAACAAATAAGCATGGGCGACTTAATGCATTTCTCCCAAAGAAGTGGGAACATTTGGTCACAGTGTAAGTGACACAAGTGTTTGGCTTCTGTGGACAAGTGCTTTTGCCCTCTCCTCCCTTCCCCACTCCTTGCCCCCACCCCAGGCCTATTTCTTCATCTGTAAAATGACAGAGTTGGGTTAAAAGTCCTTTCTAGGTCAGATTGCTATTATACTTCAGGTATATTATGGCTTAAATGGGTTTGTGAGGGCTGGACACCTAACCACCATATTTCAGATTGTTTCTATGGAAAAATATCTTCCATGAGGCAGTATTGTAGAGGATAGAGCACTGGACTAGGCATGAGAAGAACTGGTTTTGAATCCTGACTTAGAAACTTAGCTGCCGGATCACAGGCAAGAGAGAGTGTAGGACTCTTCATCGCATGACCTACCTTAGAGGATTGTGGGGAGAGTGCTTTGCAAACCATAAAATGTCGGTTATTGTTGCTATGGTTTGGATCTTTAGGAGCACAGCTTGTTTATGAGATGGCAACATATTATACTGTCTTGCATTGTTTTCTCTATCAGATTGGGTGTACCACACAGCCAAATACAGGACTCTTCTTCTCTTAACTGTTTCATGTGCATGTGCCTTGTGTCCATTATAAAGACTGTAAGCTCCCTGAGGACAAGGCTTGAGAATTCTCTTCTTAACTCAGACCCTGTCAGTGTGGTAACTGAGCCGCAATTAACTGGCACAAGGGACTATGTGTTCTAGGTTGAGGTTCACAAACATTTGCCTCAGAGGGTTTCTGGGCTACATCTTTATTATTTCATGGATAAGTTACATAGATGTTTCTCCACCAGAGACCTCAGGGGTCATCCAGTCCAATCTATACTTGCGCAGGAATCCCCACTTCAACATTTCTAACAACTGAACACCATCAGTGATGGGGCGTTCCCTGTTGTCTGAGGCAGAACATTCTACTTTGGGCTATTTCTGATCATTACAAAGCTCTTATAGTAAATTGAAATTCACCTCCCTGTAACCTGGGACCAAGCAGAAAAAGTCAAATCCTTCCATTGCACCAGTGGTCCTTTTCCAAACAATAAGCCATACAATAACTACCTAATATTCTGAGGGCTTGAATACAAGGGCTTGATCCAAGCAGATGAGGGGATAGGTCAAAAAAAGGAGGGCAACATTTCATGTGATTTACTCCATTCTCTATCACATGACCACAGGGCCCTAGATCCTCTATTCCCACTCCTCTAACCACTTATTAGGTACCACTCAGTCATTTGCTTTTCAGAGAAATATCTAAAAAGAGGCATCAGAAGACAAAGTGCTCATAATTGAGTCAAATTTACAAGAATACAAACCATTCCCCAACTGATAAATGGTCAAAAGATATGAACAGACAATTTTCACATAAAGAAATCAAAGCTATCTATAGGCATATGAAGAAGTGTTCTAAATCACTTTTGATTGGAGAAAGGCAAATTAAAACAACTCTGAGGTAACACTTCACACTTATCAGATTGGCTAATATGACAGAAAAGGAAAATGATAAATGCAGAAGATGTGGGAAAATTGGGATATTAACGCACTGTTGGTGGAGTTGTGAACTGATCCAACGATTCTGGTGAGCAATTTGGAATTATGCCCAAAGTGCAACCAAACTGTGCATACCCTTTGATCTAGAAATACCACTACTAGGTCTGTATCCCAAAGAGATCATAAAAAAGGGTAAAGGACCTACCTGTACAAAAATATTTATATCAACCCTCTTTGTGGTGGTTAAATATTGGAAAGTGAGGGAATGCCCATTAATTGGGGAATGCCTGAACAAGCTGTGGTATATGAATGTAATGGAATACTATTGTATAATAAGAAATGATGAGCAGGCAGATTTCAGAAAAACCTGGAAAGACTTGTATGAACTGATGCAAAGTGAAATGAGTAGAACCTGAAAAATATTGTACACAGTATCAGCAACATTGTATAATGATCAACTATGAATGACTCAGCTCTTCTCAGCAACACAATGACCCAAGACAATTACAAAGAACTTATAAAGAAAAATGCTATCCATTTCCAGATAAAAAACTGATGGACTCTGAATGCAGATCGAAGCGTATTTTTTTCACTTACTTTATTCTTTCTTGTGTTTTTTTTTTTCCTTTTGTTTTTTTCTTTCACAACTGTGACTAATATGGAAATACTTTCACATGGTAGCACATATATAAACTATATGAAACTGCCTACCATTTTTAGAAGAGGAGAGGGGAGGGAGGGAGAAAATTTCGGAACTCAAAATCTTGTAAAAATGAATGCTGAAAATTTTCTTGACATGTAACTGGGGGGAAATACTATTAAAATAGCATTAATAAAGCAATTTTTTTTAATGTGAAAAAGAGAAGACAAGTGCTCATGGTGAAGGTGGAAGGAAGTTGGCCCTCCCTGTGGAGCTCACTGGGCCAATAAGACCTATATTGGACTTGTAGGAGCTTACTGGACCCATACTACTATAAGAAAGGTTCTGGTCCATGACTTGCTCATCTTGTAGTGATATGGAGCATTTTTTTCTGAAGCTGGGATTGGCCCAGTGTCGACTATGAAGACATGCTCTATCTACTGATTTCCCACCTGGCAGGTCTCTTCCCTGAAGCCACCTTGATTTGCCTGGAAAAGGACTCAAAGTTTCCTTCTTTTCTGCAAAGTGGAGCAAATCTGCTCATAACCTGACGGAATGGGCCAATTCTGATGGCTGGTCTCATGTCTTCTCTCTTCTCGAAGAGTTCTCAAAGACCTTGCCTGAAGTTTTCAGAGGCCCAGGGACTCTCTTGTCCCCAGCCAGACCTCTTAAACCAAAGAACAGCATAAAAGCATTCTATTAGTGGAGTGTCAAGCCCATGTGTTAAGAGAGGGTAAGCTCTTGGGAGCCAGGAGGAATGCCAGGGATTGGACGCTGAAGCAGCCCCTCTCTAGGCAATAACATCACGGTGCCAGCAGTCAGAGCACCAGAACTGGCCAAGTGTTCATCAGCTTTAGCTTGAAGCCTCCCTCCAGTCCATTGGGGCGGGCCAGGGAAAACCACAGCATCATATCCTGGAGCCTTTAGGAGCGCAGCTTAGCCTGAAAGTGCTCACAGGGGGCATGCTTCATGGTCAACCCATAGATTGGGGTCAAGTCCACCTTCACTCCAGAGGGGACACTGAACTCCATCTGATGCAGCAGGATGGCCAGGAAGAGGAATACTTCCCACCGGCCAATAGTCTCTCCAATGCACTTCCTTTTCCCCAGACCAAACATAATCACCTTCTCACTTAGGGCCTTGTTGATAGTTCCATCTGCACTGAGGAATCGCTCTGGCCGGAACACTGAAGGGTCGCCCCATATTTTCCTGTCACAGGAGGAACAAGAGAGGAGATGGCAGTTTGGGAGATAGGACAGGGCCTCCAAACAGGGGTCAGAGTCCTAGATCCAGACTGAGAACTGGTGGGTAGAGAGCAAGGACAGCATAGCATGTGAGTGGGTACCCTGCCCTGTAAGCCCTTTCCCCAGGGGACTGGCCCAGTCTAGACCTCAGGCCCAAGGCCTACCCTCTTAAGGATGGCCCAGAAGGCTTTGCACTGAAGAGGTCCATATCTTTCCACCTGGCTGATGATCATTATTAGACATACCCAAGGCTCTCCACCAAGACCCCTTTCGGGTCCCAGGGTTGACTTACTGGTCATGGTTAATCTGCCATTGGTTCACAAAGACACAGCGTCCCTTGGGAATGTAGAAATTGTTCAAAGTCGTAGCTCTGGTTGTGCTGAGTGGGGCAAGAAACCTCTGTCAGGCTCAGGAGGAAGTTGGGGAGTGGGGTAATGGGTGTGTCCCCCATGGCTCCCTGCTTCTCTTTGCAGACACCCCTGGCTGCCACTACCACTGTTCTCTTCCCTCAGTAATGACTAGGGGAACAGAGGTCATGAGAGACTGACACCCACTTCCCTGAACTCCCTCATTCTGTCCCACAGACATCTGGACTTGTGCATGGGGAATGATTCTCCTACCATCATCTGCCTCTTCCCACAATGGCCTCATTTTGTCTTATTCTTCATGACTTCTGGGTACTGAGGAGAACGTGAAACTTAGGTGTGGACACCCCATCCTCTTGCTTACAAGGTCTCACCTGTGGGGGATGGTAAAGGGGAGGAAGGAAGAGTGCCTGAAGGTTTCCAGGATGAAGGCCTCCATGTAGGGGAGCTGAGGTTTGTCTGAGAGCTTGGGCAACCGCTCTCTACCAATCACCATGTCTGCAGGACAAAGGAGTCAAATGGAGCAGGCTCAAAGCCAACCCGACCTTTGGGTCTAAGGGGCTCCCCACCCCTCACCCCCTGGAAAGAGCCAAGGAAGGTCTTGCCACTCACTTCACTTACCCAGCTCTTCCTGGATCATCTTCTGGATCTCAGGCTTTGCTACAAGGTACATGAGACTCCAAGAAATGGCCGTGGTGACAGTGTCAAAGCCTCGACAGAGCATTAGGAGAATAATAACAATAATTATAGCCATGAAGGAGGTGCTATTATTATTCCCCATTTTACAGAGAAGGAAACTGGGGCAGAGAGGTATAAAATGATTAAGCATCTAAGACAAGGTTTGAACTCAGATGTCTCCTGACCCCAAGTCCAGTGCTCCAGACCCCTAGCTCTGTGAATTTGGGTGACATGATATAGTCTTTCCAAATGTTTCCACCAGTGTTAGGCCGTTAGGTCATTCACTACACTCCTGTGACAGAAGAGAGTAGTGATTATTATTCCAATTTTATAGATGAGAAAATCAAGGCCCACAGAGGCTAAGGGACTTGCCTTGGGTCACTCCAGTATGTCACTGGTAGAGCTGGGACTAGAGACTAGGTAGTCTATGTTCTTTTTACTGTATGAAAGGGCCAAGATATGGGCCAAGAGAAGCCAGCCATCTTCAGATCCTAGCCATTTCCTTTGGGTTGGATATCATAAATCTCTTAACTGATGCCCATGGTAAGATCTCAAGAAGATTTTGTGGGGAAAATTTTGCTGCATGATCCCTGAGGCCCAAAGATATGGGACAAAACACCCCTGGGACTTTCCTGGAGAAGAATTTATGCCTAAATAAGGGTATCTTGATGGCTATAGGACTTTATGAAAGGTGCAGCTGAATGAAATTAAGATGGCAGGTTTTCCCCTGAATCCAGATGGGGCAGGCTTGAAAATAGGCTGGAAGGTCCTATGGGCCCTGGGAAAGACCAGCCTAATCCATAGACAGAGTGGGCTGTTAATGCAATATGCTTTGAGGGATATCAGAAAAACCTGCTTTATCCCCCAAATGTCTCCATCCCTGGCCTGCCATAGTGCCTGGCATTCCACCATTAGGGCTTTGTTCCTCTGGGTTAAATGCAGGTACATACAGAGGGTGCGGGGGTAAGAAGTGAAGCATTTATCAGACATGAGCACCTTAGGGTGACTGAATCTATCAGATTTTTTCTAGCTAGGGATCAGTTGAAAGTAGGTCAGGAAAGATGCAAAACATAAGTTCTAATAGAGAAGAGGGTAGAAAGAAGTATGGGAGAAGGGAATCATGGGTAGCTGTGGAGGGCAGTGCCTGGCCCTGGAATGCTGGAAGGAACCTTAGGGGAGATGAGGGACCAATGGAGATCCTGGTCAACCTTCCAGCTGTACCCAAGACTAGAAGGGAACTGGGCATTTGGAGGGTGGGATGGAAGACTGCTCTTACCAGCTCCAAAGACATCGATGATGGTGTTCACAATCTTCTTTTCTGACATCAGGACATTAGCATTCTCATCCAACTTCTTTTCCTGGCATTGTTCAATTAGGCTATCTGTGATGTCCCGGATGCAGCCCTGGAGGGGCAAGGCTAGAGGGTTAGGGCAAGCACCAAACTGCAGCTCTCTTCATCCTCTTCAAACCCCATTCTTTCTCATCTCTGCACCTTTTCTCAAATTATCTTCCCTCCCTGGAATGATTGGTTCTTTCTTGGCTAAATCTTACCCATTCTGCCAGGTCCAAGGAAACATCTACTTGTTCTAGGAAACTTTCTCTGATCTTTCTGAGCCTTCAGTGACCTTGTCCTTTTCTAAACTCTTCTAGGACCCACTTATATGGTTCTCCCTATGTAAGAATATCTGATTTTTTAAAAAGAGGCGATCAGGGTTAAGGGACTTGCTCAGGGTCACACAGCTAAGTGTCTGAGGTCAGCTTTGAACTTAGGTCTTTCTGACTCTAGGGCTGGTGCTCTAAGAATACCTGATATTGATAGCTAGTCTTTTCTCTGCAACCAGACTGTAAGCTCTTACATAGCAAGGACTGAGGCTCACCTCCTGAAATCCCCCAGGTAACTTGAATAAAAAACACTCTCAATAGACATTCTTTGTCTGCTTGGCTCAAATGGCTGACCCAAACCCTCAGGCTTCCAATGACAGAAGCAAGGTTAATAAGAAAAGAAGCCTAATCCCTGCTCCTTGGAAATGCAGTCAGGTCCTCAGGACTGGGCATAGGGAAGGAGAGGATCAATGCTCCTTGGGTTAAATCTGAGAGTTGGAGGTAGAGACATAAGGTAAGTAAGAGAGGTGACTTGATAGAGTGAAAAGATGCCTTTCCCCAGTTCTGCCCTTGATTTTTAGTGTGACTTTGAGTAAGTCAGTTTCCTTCTCTGGGCTTCAGTCTGTTCCTCTGGGAAGTGAGGATTTTGGACTAGCTTATCTCTGAGCTATCTTCTAGCCCAGACATGAGTAGAAGTCAGAAAACTTTAGAGGGCAGAAGCATCACTGTTGAAATATGTTTATGCTCTACAGCTTCTATGGAAATACTCTGCACTCTGGGATTTCTTTGATAGTCTACCTATATCCTTGAAAAATCGGGAAAGATTGTTGAGATTAGGAGAAGGTGAAGGTACAACCCTTTGGTGAATGGATTGTAAACCTTTGGAGGACAGGAACCATACCTATTCTAGGGTCACATCCTTTAGATGCTGCTAGAGGGCTAAGAAACGGGATTCCTGCACAAGATGTGTGTGCATCACACACACATACACATACACATTCATACACATATGAATACTACAACACCCATAGAAATACCTCCAAGGAAAATGAATCCTCTGTGGAGGCCATGAGTCTGGCCTTGTGTCTGAAGCTTAGCTCTGGGAACCCTTACCTGACTCTTCCTCCAGCCCACCTACATACAGCAATAGCAGCATTAAAGACAAAGCAGAAAAGAAAAAAAAAAAAAAGCTCTGCCCTTTGATTAGCTCTCACTTTCCAGATTTCTGGCACATGGGTGCTACCATAGCTAACTCTGACTTTCTAGAATTCTTCAAACAGCTAGGTGGTGTAATAGAGTACCTGACCAAGATTCTGAAAGACTTGAATTCAAATCCTCTTCAAACACTTCTTAGCTGTGTGACCCCAAGCAAATTATATAACTTCTCTCAGATAAAGTTTTCTCATCTGTAAAATGGGGATAATAATAGTATATATCTCCCAGGGCTGTTGTGAGAGCCAAGTGAGATAATATATGTAAGGTGCTTTACCAACCCTAAAGCACTATCTAAATGCTAGCTACTGCAGACTCTGGAGCCTTCTTGCTCAGACATATGGTGCCTCGTTGACCTTCTTCCCCTGACTTCTTTCTGGCCTGTACCTACTGTATGTATTTTAATTCTTCTAGCCCAGTCTGCCTCTCAGGGCCTCTACTGCTTCTTTATTGCCACCCTCTCCAGCACCTCCTCTCTCTTCCCATGCACACTTAGTAAGGTGTCCTATTCTTCCTTCCTCCCAGCTAGGCTTGATGTCAACACAGCTCCCCTTCGTTACCTTTTCAAACTTCTTGTAATGTTCTTTCACCAACTTTTGAGTGAAGTTAGTGATTTTCTCATTCAAGTCCTTGAAGGCTGCTATCTTGCTACTGGGCAGGTATTGCAGGACAGGGATGAAATCAGCTGGATTCCCAGAGGCAACGACTTCACCAAACTTATTACTCAGAGTGACGATACTAAGTAGTTCTTGATTTTCATGGTCGTAGCGCTTTCCGAAGCAAATGGCACAGATGACGTTGGCCACAGACATCACCACGTATCTGAAGGGGTCAAAGTGCCCCTTCTGCTCCAGGAACTTCTGGATCAAGTATTCAGCCTCTTTGTGCACATGCTCCTCCAGATAGCAGGAGGAAGAGGACGGGGAGGAGGACACAGAGAAGGTCTTCAGGGCACTCTGGGCCAGCTTCCTTTGAGCTGCCCAGACCTCCCCTGAATCAGCACTAAAAGTAAAGGAGTGGCCATTGGTGATTAAGGAGAAGGTGTAAAGGTCAGGTCGGCCTTTGAAGTCATCCCCCTGCTTCACCAGGGCCTGCCTGATCGTTTCCAGGCCACTCAGCACAAGCACTGGGGTGGAGCCAATCTGAATCTGCATCACATCCCCATACTTCTCTCTCAGTTGTGCCAGGGCCATGTGGGGATTCTTTCCCAGGGTCAATATGTTGCCAATCAGAGGCCAAGCCCAGGGTCCAGGTGGGCTCTTTAGTCCTTTGGGTACCCTTTGAGTGTAAGATTCAATGATCCAGAAGACCAGGCAGAAGACAGCAGAGGCCATAAGGAGCTCTGTGACAGTGAAGGATTCGGGAAATGCCAACATGGAAAGTACACTTGCCGCCATCTTCGGTATTTAGCAAAAACTGTAGCTGTTGAGACAAAGGCAGAAGGAAAAACCTATAAGACCATGGGAATGGGAAACTGGAGGAGGGCACAGGAGGTATGTAACGGTCCTATGAACCCAACAGTGAGCTGGGGCTAAGTCAGAGGAACTGGGGAGTACTGACTTGCCATCCCTTCAGACAAAGAATGTCTGCCAACATGGAGCAAGGACTCAGGGAGGTTGAGGGCTATAGGAAGAAATGGTGAACCTGGCAAGTCTTTTGATTTCTATAACCCCCTGAATCCTAGGTGTATCCTTCCTTCTCACTCTCTTCTACCGCTGAGTTCCCCCACCAAAAACTGGAAGCAGAGATTAGATCTTCAGAATGCCAAAGCAGCCAAGGACCAGGGAGGGTGTTCCCTTAGAGGATGAAAACTTGTCCCAATGATCTCTGCATTCCAGGGAGGCCCATGGGCTTGATGTCTTGAATACCTTGCAGTAATGGTTCCTCTGATTAAGCTAGGCTCCTTCTACCCTCTCGCTCCCCCACTGCTGCACCCTCACAGGAGTCGTGGAGCGTAGAATTTTACAGATGGAAGGAAAGGTAGAGTTCATCTGGCCCAATCCCATCATTTACAGATGAAGAAACTGAAGCCAGAAAGGTTAAAGGTTATACACTAACTTAGTGGCAAAGCTAGGATTTAAACCCAGGTCTTCGGAATAGAAGGTTGTACTCTGCCCACTGGCCCACACTGCCTTCCTTTGCTCATGCTCTTCCTTCTCCCCAAATATCCTCACTCCTTTCTGCCTAATCCAAATTCAGCCTAGTTTAATCCCTCAGGCTCCCTGATGACACCTACCTAGGGAGGTCTAGTCCCTTCCTGACTGACCATAGCATCATTTATTTTGGCACAGCCACAGAAAGGCAGAAATGGAAGGGACCTTGGGATCATTGGTGCACCCTCCCCACAGAGGAGGAAGTAAGTCCTGGGGGACCTGACTTGTCTCAAGTCCCCTAGCAAATTAGGAAAAGAAACCATCTTGGGACCCAGGGCTCCTGAAGCAACTGACCACTGAGCTGGGACTGTCCCCTACCCCCCCCCCCCCCCCCACCCCCCCCTGTGTGCCCTGTCTGTCTCTAACCAGATCCAGAGTTCCTCAGGTCCAGAGACTTCTGTTTTTTTCTCCCCCTCCTCCTCCCCTTCCCTTCCTCCCTCTCTCCTCCTCCTCCTCTTCTTCTGCTTCACTCTCGTCTCCCTCCCTCCTCCCTCTCTCCTTCCTCCTCCTTCTCTCTCTCCTCCTCCTCTTTCCCCTCCTTCCCCTTCCTCCTCCTCCTCCCCCCCTTCTTCCTCCTTCTTTTCCTTCCGCTTCCCCACCTCTCCTCCTCTCCCTCCTCCTTTTCTCTTTCCTCCCCTCTCCACTTTCTCCCCCTCCCCCTACCCTTTTTCCTCTTCCTCCTTTCCCTCCTCCCCTCTCCCTTTCCTCTTTCTTCTCTCCCTGCCCTTCCTCCTCCTCCTCCTCCCCTCCCCCTCCTGGCTCTTTGGCCACACAGGCACGGGGCCGGGCCCACAGGAAGGGCTTTACAAAACTTATTGAACTCAGGGCCCTGAGAATTTCACATTTAGAGACCCAGAACTTAAATTAACCAGCATTGGTTGCTCAGATTCAGTTGAGAATAGCATCAGGGTAGATGTTACAGTCTAGGAGGCTAATAGGAACTGGAGACAGGGAAGGGACGTGGCAGGAGAGCCTTTCCTTCAGACTTTTCCTGGGTGTAAGGGCATGTCCAGGGCCTCCCCTCAGCACCTGGGTACTTGCCCCAGTGACCTGCCTTCTTGGGAATAGCCTAGGGAGTTAAGAGAGAAGCACTTTCCCTTATCCCTACAGAGTTGTAGTCAGGAAAGATAAGTGGCCACTTCCCCTCCTCCTCTTTATCCCAGTCTGCAAACAAGGACCCAACAACTTGTCCTCCTGGGATATTGAGACTGTTGGAACTTAGGGATCCAGGTGGTGGGAACACAAAATGTCCTACCTTATCTATCCTGGGGGGCAGCTAGATGGTGAGGTGGATAGAGTGCCAGGCCTGGAAACAAGAAGACTTATCATCCTGAGTTCAAATCTGGCCTCTGACACTTAATAGCTGTATGACCTTGGGCAAGTCACTTAACCCTGTTTGCCTCAGTTTCCTCATCTATAAAATGAGCTGGAGAAGGAAATGGCAAACCATTCCACTATCTTTGCCAAGAAAACCCCAAAGGGGGTCATGAAGAATTGGACATGATTGAAAGGACTGAACATCAACAAACCTATCCTGGAGATAGAGAATAAGAGTCTGGACCCCTGATCCCTTGGGGAAAGTCCACTCAGATTCACCTGCGAGTTATATGCATTTCTGTTTAAAGTCCAATCTGCAAAAGGGCGAGCAACTCAATGAAATGATAAATATTTACTAAGCACCTATTATGTACTGGGTACCACCCTGGTAAGAGCAGAGAGGGGCAGAATGAGGATATGCCATTCAGAATTTATCTAGCCAGCTTTCTTCAGCTCTGCTGCAAGCCTGGGAGGGGGGCCGTTGTATCTACCAAAGCCCTGAGGCTGGGCTGCACACCTTGTCATTCAGCACGTAAAGCACCGAAGGCAGTCTATAGCTAGCTCTCAGTCAGTGGGTTGGAATAAGGGGGAAAGTTAGGGGCAGGGGATGATCTGGTGTGCTCATTAGAGAAAGACAAGAGTCGATCCCTAGGGTGGAGAAATCCAGTCCATAGTTTTCTTCTCACTTTATTCCCAATGAATGAATGATAAGATACTACTCTATCAGCCAGTCACCAAGGGAAAGGCAATACTTAAAAAGTGTTCTGCTGATTGAGGCTGCAAAGAAACTCCTGCCTGGCATTCTGGACTAGATCCTAACACAAAGGACACTCCTTTTTTGGTCTAGACTCTCTCTAAGAAAACACACAGTGGTGAATGCAAATACAGCTACTAGCCTCTCAGGATTAGAGACAGACATCAGAAAAGAGCCGGCTCTGCACACAGCCCTGGGGCATCTGACTCGGTATCTAGCCCATCGCCTTACAATTAGAAGATCCTCAAGGAATATTTGCTGGGTGAATGAATCATCAAATAAATGAATAAAAGGGTAGTAGCATTGAGGGAGGTGGGAAGCCTCATATCCTGACCAGGCTAGCCCCCAGTTGTGGCTCAGTGGCCCCTCTGAACCGTGGGTATTTCATCTCTTTCAGCTTTCCCACCGTGGTAGGAGGCAAAGGGAGGCACAGTCAATGGATTCTCAGGAACCTGGTATTTCTTTGGCTTGAAGACACTGATTGTCTTAAGCCACAGGACTAAACCCAGGCAAAACCCAAGGAGTGCAGGGACCAGTGGAAACCTCCCCAACTCTTTCCCAGAAGTTAAGATGCTAGTTGAGAATGGGATGGGCATTGAGCTGTGTCAGAGCAAGCCACCAGGGTCCTACTTAGACTAGGCACGGCAGATACCAGCCAGCCTTTTTTTGGAAGGGATTTCTAAGCTCAGCTCATCCCACTAAAGGTCACAGTTGGACACAGTCTATGGGAATATGTAAGTTCTTCTGTAAAGCATCAAGCCTGCATCACCCTCATTTTATTCTCTGAAGTATGAGATTCCTTTTTTGAAGTACCTATTTATACTTGTAAGATCTGCAAGAGCAGGAATGTTTTCATTTTTATCTTTGTATTTCAGTATCTAGCAAAGTCTAAACTGTAGAGTCTATACATAGGAGATACTTCATACATGTTGTTGAATTAAATTTAAATTGCCTGTCTGATCACCTCACTTATGGAATTATATATACTTCAACCTTCCCAGAATCAAAGATACAAGCTATTTGCCTTCAGAGGAGAGGGGTAGATATTAGAAGAATAGAGGCTAGTAAAGGAAGGAAGGGGGGGATGTTACTGTCCAACTAGTTCTAGAGATAGTAACACACACACACACACACACACACTTGTCCTGACATGTTGAAATTAAATGGAGTTGAATGTTACATAACTGAGTCCAACTGCTTCATTTTTACTGGTGAGAGAAACTGAGGCCCAGAGAGAGGCAGGGACTTTCTAAGAGCACATAGTTAATTAGTAGCCAAGATGAGACTAGAACCCAAGTTTCGTGACTCCTAGTATACTACAAAGATTCATGGAATCTCGGAGTTGGAAGGAAGCTCAGATGTCAGCTAGTCCCATAGGTGCTTAAAAGGAATCCCCTCTTTCCCTGACAGTGGTCATATATGGGGTGGGGTAGGGTGGGGGCTCATTCCTTTCTGAGGCAATTTGTTCTGCATTTGGACAATTCAAATGTTAGAAAGTTTTTTTCCCCCTTACATCAAGCTTACATCTGCCTCTGTAACTTCCATCCATCATCAGTCCTACTTCTGTCTTCTTTGGCCAAGCAGAAGAAATCTAATCTCTCTTCTACATGACATCCCTTCAACTGCCTGAAGATGCTAGTCAATACTCCTCTCCCTCACTTCCATCAAGTAATCTCCTCTTTGGAGGAGTTCTTTCACCTGATCCTTATATAATATGACCTTGAGGTCCCTCACCACACCAGGCACATGCCATTGAATGTACTTCAGCTAGTTAAGGTTTCCCTTTAAAACAGTGTCCATAACTACTACAGATGTGTGCCAACCAAGTATTTGTATAACATTATATTGCTAGCTTAGACCAGGAAAATGAAATTGATCTCAAAAAAATAAAGAGCATAGATAAGAAGTATAACCTGCATCCTCCCATCCTCCCATCCCCATCCCCTGTGCCCCGTTTCAAGCTAACAATTCTGAAGGGCTGCTCCAATTTCTGTAGCAGAGCTCCCAGGACATCCTTATCCCCAGCCAGTTAGAGAAAAGACAGAGGGACTAGAGAAAATCACAGGCTTATCCCTAGATTTGAGATCCTTGGAGGCTGTAGCCCAGCTGGAATGGGTACCCTGGAGGCCTGAGAAGTAATGCCTGGCACACTTCCTGGCAGAGCAGGTATTTAATCCATGTTGATTGATAATAGTGATGTAATATCACATGTATATAGAGCTCTAAGGTTCATGATAATTCACTTCTCACAACAACCCTGTGAGATAAGTAATGCAACGATTATCACCTCCATTTTACAGGTAATGAAACTGAGGCTAAGAGAAATTAAGTGATGCCCCTGCCCAGGATCCCACAAGCTGTTGAAGGGCAGAGCCAGGATTCAATCCCCAGTACCCTAGATTCAAATCTAGTGTTATTGCCACTACATTAATATAGAGTTGATTGCAGAATCCTGGTCTCTTAGGGTTATAGAAGGAGAATGGGACCAGGAGTTAGGAGGACACCTGAGCTACAACCCTGACCCAGTTGGATTGAATGACCTTGGATAAGTCACTTGACCTGTGTGAAGCCTGTCTTTCTTCCTTGATCTCTCAGGGCCCTTCCTGCTCTAAAATCTGATGACTCCCAGTCTTGGATGCCCTGCAAAGATCAGGAGTCAGAGTTTTTTCCTTAATTGTTGAGGGGAAAGTGGAGAAGACCCCAGCACTTACCTGTGCCTGACTAGGTCAGTCTGGGCTGAGAATCGGAGAAGTCTAAGACAGAGGGCTCGCTCAATCTTGGCGAAAAGATGCCAAGAAGTAATCACCTCATTAGAAGTTGTGGAGAAAGGAGCTTTCTGCAAACCTTTATAGGCAACCAGCCTCATCCTATTGGCTGAGGTGATTGACAACGTCTCGGAAACGCCCTCTAGTGGGGCGGGGCGAGTTGGTGGGGGTCGGCTGGGACCTAGAGGAGGCTGTACCCCGAGTCAGAGAACAGGGATGTGGGTGTCTATTCACAATTATTGGCGGGGGGAGCAAGAGGGATGGGATTCTAACTCACTAGGGGGCGCCCTGGACCCGGGGTATATTATTAGAGGGGGCAGGGGTCGGGCACTTTTAGGACACCCTTCTCTTGGGCCCCCTAGGAGCTAAGAGCTTATACTAAGAAAGAACCTTCAAGTATAGGAAGATTTCCAAAACTAAGGTCATCCTGAAATTTCGGAGGGCGCAGGTGGTCAGTCCAACCTGAGGTAGGGTAGAAGGAGCATCACCCTCACACTTCTTTAGAGTTTTTGGGCAATTACTGAATGAAAAGTTGGAGGAGGTACTGATATCTGGAGATCCTTTCCCCAGAGTGCCATGCTAAGCATCTCTGACCTTATCCACTACCACTCCCATCCCCCTTGAATACACACAGAAGCTCACTGCCAGCTACCAATCAAGTGAAATATTTGTAAGCGCTTAGTGCAGTGCCTAGCACATAGTAGGCTCTTAATATGTTTATTCCCTTCCACTTAGCCTTCAGGGTAAGGCTGGGGGTGGGGTGGGGGTAGAGGTGAGGATGTTACTGATCTATCCGGGTCCCCGCCTCCCAGGAGCGGTAGGTGGCTTGGCTAAGGTTACACAGTGTCCAGGTTCGCGTGAGAGATTTATCTCGCCCCCCCCCCGGCCCTCGACCCGGGGTCAGATATCACCGGGAAGGGGCCAGGGGCCAGCCAGGAGGGAGGGCAACTGGCGGGGCCGGTGGAGGCGGGGTGGGGAAGGGGTGGGGGGAGAAGGGAACGGAGGAAGGGAGAAGGGGAGAAAGGAGGGCAAAGGAGTCCGCTCCTTCTGACCCAACTGCAGGCTTCCCTCGCGGGCAGAGTTCCTACGTGGCTCTCCACCCTCGCTGCCCAAGAGTCCTAACATTTACGCTAGGCTCACCGCCAGTCTATCGTGCTCTGCCAGGGCTTCGGGTACCCATCCTTCCAGAACGGTACGACCCCGAACCGTTTTCAACACTTTCTGGTTATACACGAAGCGGGTCTATCATTTTCCAAATAGAAATTTTCAAAACATTTTTAAAAAATGCTTTGATTTATACGTATTTGCGCAACAGAGAATTTTAAGAAGGGAGTACGGAGAAAACTCTAAACTTGCTTAGATAGTCGTGAATGAGTTCAAGACGGGAAGGGAGAGGGTAGAGGGGATCCCACGAAGGCCCAAAGACCCCTCTCCTCCTCTGGGTCCTCCCCTTCCTCCTACTCCCTTGTCCATTCCTTGAAGCCCACCTACAACACCTAGTCCTTCGAGGCCATACAGACCCCAGACCTCAGTCAGCCCGCCAGAGTTGGAGAGGGATCTTGGATCTTTCAGCAAAATGGATGCAACCTGTTACCCACGCCGTGCTACAGAGGCTACGGACTTAAAATGTAGAATGAGACTTAGACTTTCGGATCTGGCTACAGGGGGAGTTAGAGATGCTTAACTATGCACATTGCTTATGGGGGAGGGGGGATTCTTTTTATTGTTCAATTGAGGAAAGCTGTAGGAGGGAGGGTTGATAAAGGCTTGATATATACATATACATGCACACATATATATTTATATATACATACATACATATATAAATATATACGTGTGTGTGTATACTTTTTAAAAAATGGATGCAACCCCCTTCCTGGCAGTACGGGCTGCGGGCCGAGGGAGCTGGGTTCAGCGCAATCTCCTGCCACCAATCTCCAGGCTGATGCTTTCTCTCAGGCACTCGGGCAAGCGGCTGCGGCGGCGAGTCTGCTGCTGATAATGATTACCTTGGCTCCCCAGACCCTGCTCCCCTCCCCGCGCCAGGTCGTCTGGGTTTGACCTCTGGCAAGCGCTAGGCAGAGTTGCGTGAGAAGTGATCGTGAGGGCGGGCATAGAGTCCCCAGCAGTCTGGCCGCCTCGTGCAGGACACCTAGTCACGCAAAGGGAGGGGGGAGGAGAAGGAAAAAGGGGTGGAGGAGAATAAGGAGGAGGAGAAGGGGAAGGAAGGTCGCTCTTAAAGGGCCAAGTCAGCAACCACGCGAAGGAATTCCAGGAATTACGGGACTAGCCTCCCGAAGCGACAAGACCCGGGGCTGCCTGGGGAGGCAAGTGTAGTCGCCCGTAGCTGCAGCCCAGCGGCCCGGGGTGCATGCCTAGCCCAGCCCTGGCCAGGAAGAGCCAGCACCGGTCGGCACGCGCTTCGGACACCTGGCACGCACTTTCCCGAAAGCATCCTTGCTTTTCCCCCACTCCCCTCCTGGCAGCTGACACAGCTGGCAGCCTGGGTGGAAGAACGCAGGAGCCCTGTGGCCCCCGGGGGCAGCAAATCCAGCTTCTCGAAGAGTCAGAGCAAAAGCGCTGGCTCCCTACTCCCGCCATTCGGGATTTCCCGAAAGAGAACTAGCCAGGGATAGGGCCTCTGGGTTCGGAACCAGCCCAAGGGGCTGACCTGCCAGTAGTACCCCTGATTACGAGAGGCAGATGGCAACCTGGGAGACGAAAGCTACCCGAACCAAGTTCCCCAGCCGCGGGTGGTTTTATTCATTTGGCGTATTGGATTGGGGGCTGTCATGCAGCTCCCCTCCCTAGGACACACCAAGCCAGATGCAAAAGGACAGAACTGAGAGAATTCAGAAAGTAGGTCTCCCAATCCCCTTGGCTAGGGGTCAAAATTCACGAATTTACCCAACGTACTTTAATAGCCCAGATGCGTCCAGTCACCCAGTCTTGAAGGGCAGAGGCTTAATAACTCTTTGTCCATAGCTGTGTGACTCTGGGCAGGTCACTTAACCCCAATTGCCATAAAAAAAAAATAATTCTTTGTCCCTATACCCCTTCCCCCAGAAGCACCCAACTTAGGACTGAATTCAATGAGTGTCTATTGACTGGTTGAATTCATTAAGACCACATCTTGACTTTAGGCGCCTAGTAAATACCAGAGGCATAACAGAGAGACAGCTAGTGGGCCTTAGAGCTGGCCTCAGAAGGAGCCAGAAACATCTGTGTTCATGTTTCCATGTCCCTGTCCCCACCCCACCCCCATATAGGCTGTGTAACATGGGCCCCAGGGTCTGAGCAAATCACTCAATCTCTCTGTGTTCTCAGTAGCTCTTCAGGAATTCCCTACCTCAATGAAATCAGAGGTCCAATCCCTATTCCTACCATGTGCTAGGCCCAGGGGATACAAAGAAATGAAACAGTCCTTCCTTCCCTTCGAGGATATAACATGGAATGAGACTATGTACGCATATTAGCACAGTGTCTGGCGTATAGTAAGTGCTTAATAAATGCTTGTTGACATATATACTATATGTGTGTATACACACATATACATACAATACACATGTGTGTATACATGTCTATCTATCTACGTCTCCAAGATTTCATTGGCATTGGGACCTCCCAATGAGTAAGGAATTTCCTCTGTCAATGCAGATCAGCATCTTAAAGTCTTAGCAACTGCATCTTAAAGCCACTGAGAAGTTGTAACTTACCCAGGGTCACACAATCAATATATGAACCCACACCTTCTTGACTCTTAGGCCACATGCAAAATAAACATAAGGATGCTTATTGATGGGAAAGGATTAGCAGTTGAGGGATCAGCCTTTGCATCCCCAGGTCTTAGCACAGTACCTGGCATATGGTAAGGGTTTAATAAATGTTTTATCTCTCTATCTGGCAAGGTCTCATGTAGGAGATGGTACCTGAATTGTGCTTTGAAGGAAAATAGTAATTGTAAGAGGTGGAGGTGAGTGCAATCTAGATGTTCACATGCAAAGTCACAGACGCGTAGACTAGTGTGGGAGGCCAATTTGACTGGACCTTAGAGCATGTGGATGGATAATTTGTAATAAGCTTGGAAAAGGAGGCTGGAGATAAATCAGGAAGGGTTGTAAATGTCAAAAATAGGAATCTGTATTTTTAAAGTACATTTTTATTGATGTCCTGTTTTTTACATAACTCACATTTCCCAATGTATCTTTCTCTCCTTTCCCAAACAGTCATCTCTTACAACAAAGTATAAAAAAAGAGAAACACAATTCAGAAAAACTAACCAACACATTGTAAAATAAATAAATAAATAAATCTGACATTATCTTCCATGTTCCACACTCAAAGTCCCATACTTCTGTAAAGAAGAGAGGTAGGTAGGTACCTTCTTATAGATCTTCTTTGGGGCCAAGTTTAGTCATTATCATTTCACAGAATTCAGTTTCAATTATTTCATTGTCATTATTGTTCTTTCCATTTACAGCTCTTCCCATTTATGATTGTTATGTATATAATTTTCCTGCAAACTTCAATTTGCCTCAATTCCTGTAAATCTCCTATGCTTCTCTGTGTTCAGCATATTCAATGTTTCTTATAGCACAGTAATATTATATTACATTTATCTGCTTGTTAACAACTTGTTTCCTGAATCAATGAGTACCATTTTGTTTTCAGTTCTTTTCAACTAAAAAGATGCTACTTCAAATATTTTGATGTATATGGGGCTCTTTTTTTTTTTAAGTAGTTGATCTCCTCAGGCTATATGTCTTGCAATGAAATCTCTGAATTAAAGCATATGGACATTTTAGTCACTTTGTTCACAGAATTCCAAATCTCTTTCCAGAAAGTTGGACCAGTTCATACCTAGAGTAGTCTATATTTGATCTTAGGGAAATAGGGAGTCACCAGAATTTATTGAGTATGATGAGACTTATATTTAGGAGGATCACTTCGCTATTGCTTGGGTATTGTAAAGAAAAAATTTGAAAGACAGGGAATAGTATGGGGAGCTGTGTGAATGGGGAAATGAAGGGGAGGA